CGACTCCGGCCCCTCCCCCGCAAGGATGGGGAAGTCAAGGCAGCAAGCGCCGCGAGCGTGCGTCTGGTTGTCGGCGCGCACACCTCGTCGTTCTCCTTGCGTGAATTAAGAGTTTTGCGGGGCTCCCACATTTGCTCTGCTGGAGTTAGTTGCCTCCGCTACTGGGTCGCATCCAGGACGTCTTAAATTGGCCAGTTTCCTCTCCAGATTGCGTAGTCCCCCTTTCCTCTGCACGACCACCTTCCCCGCCCCTGGCCTCATGCCTACCTCCAAGGGAGAGCTGAAAGCCAAAGAATTACCTCTGGGAACACCACCGACAATTAAGAATCTGGATGAACCCGCCCCATTGTGAAATTCACATAGTTTGAACTACTCATGGCACGGAAACTTATCAAATGTGGCCGGAGCCAAAAACTACCCTGGATCAAGCCAAACTGCCCCTGCTTCTAGTATAGTAAACGTACACCCCTGGCAGAGGCAGTAAAAACAAGAGCATATCTAACAAGTAACTCCACCACACCTGGACAACTGCACGGTTATACAATATGCCCTTGCACGCATGAATACCTATGCATGGCTCAGGACCCCAGCACAGTGGCTTACTGTGATCCTTCCAAGGTGACCAAGCACTAAGCCACTCCACCCCAGCAGTAAAATGCATATTTACCAGTCCCAAGCCCAAAGCCAACACTGCTGCCAGTCCCAACTCTCAGAATGTGGCCAGTAGCAAGAGGAAACAGACACCTAAAGAGAAGGAGAAATACAATTTAAATAAAATCTAAATTCAACTAGAAGAGCCAGACTCTCTGAACCAGAGGAGATAAAAGTCCTGTGCTTGGAGCTGCTGAGGTACATTTTTTTTTCTATTTGCTTGTTTAGTTGTTTTGTTTTGCAGGCTTGTGGGAGCAGCTATGGTTTATGTACTACAGCCTCCTCTGTTTCTCCCTGCTGTGGACTTATATCCTGGTTATTGGTCCGAGCCCAAAGAAAGCACTGCTGAAGGCAAGACTGTTTCTATAGTTGCTTAAAAACATTGGTTGAGGAAGAAATGGCCAGTCCAATTTTCCAAAAAATATTCCTTCTTCTCAACAAGCCACGGTAGCAAGATTTTGACCCCTGTCCATGAGTTTTTTCCAGTTATCTTAGCAGAGAGCCCCCTTCCCATACCCAACAGTACCCACCCCCTTCCCATACCCAACAGTACCCACTTTTCAACTTGTGAAAAAGACAGTGTTATGGTTTGAATATGGTTTGCCTGTGCACACCAGAAACCATGTTGGATTTGATTGCCATTGTGGTGATATTGGGAGGTGATTTGGTGATTAAGGGGTGTCATGAGACACAACTAAACCATTCAGGGTCACTCCAGGTGAACTGGCTGGCATGAAATAATCACACAGAGATAGAGAGATACCTTTTACTTTGGGATCTATGATGGCTCCTCTGAACCAGCTCACACAAAGGAGGCAAGACAGGCAAGAAAGACAAAGAGCACACCTCGAACCCAGGTTTATTGGGGAGGAGCCATTCAAATGAGGCAAGGGGTAGGATTACAAAGGAACAGGTGAGTGTAACTCAACCCCACCAGGTAACACCTACTCCTGGAGCCATACCTCATTCATTACCAGTGGAGGTAAAGCCCAAGTTACTGCCAGGCGCAATAATTCAGTATCTCTTGCTCAGGACTTAAGGGCTTATATTTCCAGAGTGGCTCCTGACATATTCCCCCTTTCTTAATATAAAAAGGCAATTAGGGAATTATATCTTCCAGTCACAGGGTTCTTGGTCCGAGGTCATCATGACCTACTATTGAGACACAAAAGGAATTAGTAGAACACATATTATTCTAATAACATATCATATAGAATGTTTTAACATTTTTTAAAATTAAAGTCATTTAATAAACTTTGAAAGATCCAGGTTGTTATTATTACTCTGCCAAACACTCATCAGAATATTCTTAATCTTTTCCCAATTTTATTGGGAAGCATTGTGTTTGGCCACAGTAACACAGACATATTTAATTGGGATGGCATTTAAGCCTTTCCTCAAACCATAGAACAGAGGACTCATTTGTATTATTCATTATAGTGGCTTTTAGAGCATTTAACTTAGTTCTAATCCTTCTGTCAGCACTTATCTGACTATGAAGGATCTTGGAAGTAATTTAAGTCAAATTATTAAGAAAATTCACATGTTGTAAGTTTTAAAACATAGCCATAAAGGCTGTAATTGTAGAAGCAATGGATAATATTTGAAGTAGTTACTTCAAGGATCATGAGATCAAGAGCTTGCCTAGATCTGGTTAATGGTATGCACCTGTTTCCAAGCCTGAATCTTAACTTTAGCATTCTAGCTGGCAATAGGACAAAGGAATGTTGATGAAGGATCAATGTCCTTTTTCTCTACTATAACTAGTGATAAAATTAGACAAGTTGCATTTTTTATAGGCTACAGGATATTTATTATCCTTTCTCTTAATTTTCACATTTAAGGAGTCTCTTAGGTCTGTCAGTAATGCAGAAGTTCTGGAGACAGAAGTTAAGCACCAGACATCCTTTTGGATGCCATCTCACTGAAGGTTAAGGCTTCTGCAATTGTCCTTGTCAATTCTAGGAGACCAGTCTGTAAATAACTGGCCTATATAGGAAAATTCTATTTTAACAATCTTTCTATTTTGACAATTGTCCAGATATATAAAAACAGTTTTAATTTATAAGGACCAGCATAATTGGCTGGTTTAGGTTTCTCATACGCTGTCTTTTTCTCAAATGATATTCCCAAACAGCCTGTTTACCATAGGATCAACATATAGATAAGTGACCATTATAGTCAGTACAATTAATCTAGTCACATGGATGGATTTTCCAGTCCACATTGTAATGTCCATTAAAGTTGGACTTGAGAAATGGGTCCACAGGAGTTTCTTCATAATTTTTACTTACCTGACAAGCTCATGATGTTTACGTGGCTGTAAACTCTATAGCTGGGAGATTTACCCCTATGCCAGGTTTTTCAGTCACTTTCACAATGACAGGTTTAAACACTCCTATGAAATCTGACTTAATTTACTGAATCATATTCAGTGACAGTAAGACTCTCAATATTACAATTTAAGAAAAAAATTTTTGAAATATTTGTAAGATCTAGTATGTGCATATAGGGTCCTGTTTTCCTCCTTTATTTATTCAATAAAATTGAGTAGAGGCCTATAAGTCATAGTAGCAATGAATAATATTTGAAGTAGTTACTTCAAGGATCATGAGATCAAGTTTGAGTTATAGACAATAGTACAAGTATTTAAAAAATAAAAAAAGATTTACCATCTTTAGTTGGTCATGAAATTTGACAAGTCATTTATTAGTTGAGTTCAACATTAATGAATTGGAAAGGGACCATGTTAAATAGAATCTTAGCCTTCACTAAATGTATGACTTGATTTTTTACTTTAACAGAATTACCAATAAGAAGAATATAATAAGTTATATATAAAATTTTAATTTTGAAATTAGCTCTAGTTGAATTTTAAGTAATTATCTTAATTTGGAAAGAAGCAAGAGACAGAGTTCTTAATTTAGGAGCTCTGGCCTTTACTAAGGGCATAAGAAATATGTATGTAGAGACATCTTTCCAGAATAGAAAGTATACATGTTTAATAATCGTAGGAAAGACATTTTGTTTTCTATAATTAACAAAAAATGAAATAGAAAAATAAATAGCCTTTATTTACCAATCTATGAAAAGTTGTTATTATTGTTATCAAGCTCAATGTTGACTTTGGGGAATTAGTATCTCAAATATTAGTGGTAAGAATAAGTCAACAGTATTTTTTAAGATAGTGATCTAATTTAGAATTTTATATGACATTGAGTTAGTAAGGACATTTTGAGGGATCCGTGTCAAAACAATCTTTATATATAAAGAAACAGTTGTATGAGTACCCTTAATAACAATGTAGTAAAACTAACTTTAATAATTATATATAATTTATGGCTTTACTAATTTCAAAAATATCAATGTATATAGGGCATCATCTCACATTATTAAAGTTGAGAAAAGGTCTATTATGTTAAATTTCTTATTGAAATAAGTTATCGGCTGTTGAGCTGATTTATTTATGGCTGTCTAATATTTTAGGGGTAATATTTTCAGGGTTATTTTCCTCAGTGACAAATTGTTGACAGGGGCTCAAAGTAATACCCTGTTTCAATGTTTAGAGGCTTCCAAAATGTGTTTATAATTAGGAGTAAAATTTTCAACCAGAAGCTTATTTTTCTTGGGGTAAGATTAGCATTTTAATCTCTTTCTGTCTGTATGTTTGCCTTTCCTTTTCTTCATTTTTGGTCTCTGTTCAACTGTGGGGTAACATCCAAACTTGGTTAGGACTATGTTAACCTTTGTAAATCCCTTGGAATGTCTGAGGCTAACTGGATGATAAACTCATCTTTGGAAATGAGTGGCCCCCTATTAATCCAAGGTGCTATACTGTTTTTTGAATCTCTCTATGAAAACAGTAGGATTTTTGTAAAGGCTTACTAAAATTATTTTTTAGGCATTCTGTTTACTTGTTAGATATCTGTTTTGGGGAGTTGTCTGTGCTCCAAAAAGATTATTAGGTTTGTTCCTATTCTGTGTTATTGGGACATGGTTAAGATAAATTTCCTTGAAAACTGTTTTTAAGATGGCCCTCTATTTTAAAGTTTAGCTAAGTAATAGCATAATATCTCTCTAGATAAGGTTAGACGTTTTGGCATAAATTTTGAAATATTACAATACATGAATTTGGATCTCTCGAAACTGCAAATTCATGTACTGTAATATTTGTTCTGGTCTATATTAAGTTTGAGAGATCCCCTTTGATCTTTCTTTCTAGTAGGTAATTTTTAAGGCCTTCCCTGATAATAGTAATTGAGACTAGATATGAAAATGAGATAGATACCTTTTACTGATCATTGTAATTTCCCAGTATATTGACTAGGTGATCCATTTCGATGTTACATGTAAATGGACAATTTAAAAAGAACCGTCAATCTCTTCCTGAGAGAAGTTCTCAAAATATCCCTATATCTCAGAATATTATCCTTTAGATAGGTGTCTCTTAATTGTATTTTAGAAAATATGATTAGGGTTACTTTCCATTGTAGGGATTAGTATATAAGTCTTACCATATTTTTATGGATAATAGGTCTTGTCAGAGAACTTTTATATACTAATGAATTTCCAACAAAGTGTGTAACTTTTATTGCTCAAAACTAACATATTACTTTAATTTGGAGAACATCAGTCCCAATAAAATGTTTTCCCAAATCCCACAAATATCCAACAAACAGAAGTAATATGCAAGAATCAGCAGTAATCATTACTGATGTCTTTGAATCAATCAAATTAAGTCTCCAAATTAAGTTAAATTGAGGAGAAGTGTCAAAATTGGAATTCAATTCAGTATTTTAAAACATTTATTGTTTGATCAAGGATGTATGAATTTGATTCATTAAAAATTTGTCCTTGTTCAAACAGCAAGAATTATTAGATGTAAACTTAATATTTTAATAAGCTCTGTCATGTCAGAATGTGGACAAAAATCTTAGCTTACATCAGCATAATAAAATCATGGGAAAACGCCTGAAATACCCTAGAATTAATCAGTTCAAATTCTTATAGTCAGTCCAGTTACACATAAATCTGCTTTTCAAATGTTTTAACTTTCTATATTATCTATCTAGATAGTGATATAAAGATTTCCCTATTTAGAAAAATCCTTTTAACATTAAGATCTAGAATATAAATACCTTTGTTTTACCAAAGATGATTTCCTTCTTAGGACCTCCAATATGCACCTCTTCTCTGTA